ACATAAGTTCTATTTGCATATCAAAAGATCCAGTACATCATTCACGTGTAAAGCATATTCATGTTAGGCATCATTTCCTAAAAGATAATGTGGAAAAAGGCTGTATAAGATTAGAATTTGTACAAACTGAATATCAAATTGCTGACATTCTAACAAAGCCTTTTAGTAAAGAAAAATTCGAAAAGATGCGATTGGAACTCGGAATGATAAAGCTGAACTGAGCAATTCTTCTTGGAACCCCAAGGTATGTCTTAGTGAAACGACTGAGCATTGCTATATATAACCTTGGTGTGAAAAACATAATCTCGAATCTTGCAATGAGAGAGTGTGCAATTCTAATGAGTGTGTGATCATGTGATTATGTTGATGAAGAAGACAAATCAAGCCATATTATTTTCCAAGTTCCTTTTTGTAAAGCTCTGTACATGTCAACCAGTATTTTACTTTGAAGTAACTTACTGGAATTTTTTTTTCTTTCGTAATTTTTATTTTTCTTTATTTTTCAATTTTTATTTTTATCTTTTTATTATTTTTGTTATCTTATAAATTTAAAAACAACAAAAAGATTTTTTTTTCTCAATTAGATTTTATCTTATTTTTTTTAATTTTATCTTTAATTTTTATCATTGTCAAAATAAATCACAACCTTTTCTCTATCCCACTAAACTCTCAACCGTCACCTATCTTTTCACCTCACTTACCACACGCACCCACTCACCTCAAAAACCCCAAAACACTAACCGCCACTTCCAACCTTCAAAGTTCCTCTAACCAATGAAGAAACCCACCCCTTGAAACCAGAAAACATACTCCATGAAAAATCCCTCTCAAAATTAAGCCTTAAAGTTGTTCATGGAAAAGTTTGTTTTATTACCGATGTACACTCGGAATCTAAGGAAGAGGGAGATCAAAGTGATGGGGAACTGAATGAGAGGGAAAGCATTGATGAGGAGGAAGACAGTGAGAAGGAAGAAGTAAAAGAGGAAGAAAACAGTGATAAAGAAAAAGAAAAGAAAGAGAAAGACAGTGAGAAAAATGATGAAAAAGAAGAGGAAACAGAGAGTGAAAAATAAGAGGAAAAAGAGAGAAAAAGTGCAGTAGAGAGGGAAACAGAAGAAGAGAAAGAAATAGAGAGTGAGAAGGAGGAAAAAGAGGACAAAGAGGAGTTAGTGAAAGATCTACTCAAGGAAATTGGAGGCTCTGTTAAACAAATTGTCCCTGTAACAGGTAGAAAAAGGAGAAGCGTTAGACTTGCTTCTTCTAAACCCAGAACACTGAGATCTCAGCCTGTTATTATTGTTGAATTGGATGATGATACATCCAAATTTTCTGAAGGAACTTCCACCCAAGTTCCTCAAGGTCCTTCTTCCCTTGTTTCTGAAGGAACTCTATCACCACCCCCTATTCCTTCCTCTGTTCACCAAGCCACACCTTCTCCGCCTGTTTCAGAGCCTCATACTTCAAGTTTTGGCTTCAGTGCTTTTAGCTCAGGTTCTAGTTCCTTGCAGATAAAGGAGGAACTTCAGTTGTTGTCCACTACATTCACACAGGGCATCTCTCAACTCACAGCAAAAGTGGGGGATCTTGCTACAAAGGTGGATAATCTGCAAACTCAGGTTCTGTCCTTGGAGGATAAAATCAATGCTCATATGGACTCCTCAGATCAGGAATTCAAAGCTAAAATAAAGCAAAGTTATAAGACCATCCTTGATACAATCAAGGATGTTACATTTGAGGACACTAAAGGTGCTGCCACCTCTAAACCAACTGCCAAATACCCTTAACCTACTTTCTCTTGTGATTTATGAAACAGTGATATTTTCTTTCATTTTATTTTGTTTGGTTTGTTTTGAACAATTTATTTTGTTTTATTTCAGTTTGTACTACACTGGCTAAGTTTGTCTTTGAATTTGATGTTCTCATTTTGGTTGCATATGATCTGTGTGCGCATGCTTGATCGTTCATGAATATAGATTTACTACTCCCTCCGTAGTTTAGTACTATATATAGCATGCTCTTTCTATCATTTTGATAATTTCAAAAGGGGGAAAAGAGGAACAAACACAGAAAGCCGGACTCAAACCGTTTCCATTCAAGTCTTCATCATTTAAGTAAAGGTATAAATTTCACAATTTATTATTTTCAAGAATGATGCAGACTTCTTTAAACTTAGTTTGTTTTATTGCTTTAATAATTTTATTGTTTACTTAGTTATTGGTTACGATAATTGCCTGGATGTTTATTTTGTTTAACCGAGTTTGTTTTTGTTTGTCATCATTAAAAAGGGGGAATATTGTTGAATTGACCACCTTATATTTTGATGATTGACTTACATAAAACAAACTTTGACTAACGACGTTTATGAGTCTTGGTTAAAACAGAAGATTCAGGTTTGAAGTTACATGTTTCGGAGTAGGAACAACAGAGTTTGGAAGACTTGATGATGAATGCAAGCTTTCAAGATATCCTCACAACTCTAGTATACTTAGTTATTCAGTGTACGAACTTAAGAAACAAAAGTGTTGGAAGGAACTCATGAAAAACTCAAAGTTCCTGATGGAATCTGGAATTCCTGAAGGAACTTGACTGATGCTCAGATAAGTGTTTAAACGATGGTTTTCAAAAACAGTTTTCATATCCCTTAATTTAAGGAAAAGATAAAATCAGTTTTGGAAAAGATTTATTTTATAAATAAATAAAATCAAAATAATTCATTAATTTAAATGATAAGTTTTAAATTAATTAATTATTTAGTTATCTTTTTTAATAATAAATAATTATCTTTTTAATAAATCTTTAACTGATTTTTGACTTAGTAAAAATAACTGTTTACTTAAATTAAGGAAGCACGTTGATTTAGGAGTCAAGCTAGGGAAATCATGTTCCTAAATTTCCTCTGCCTACATCCCAACTTCTCAGTCAAAGAGAACGTGGGATTAAGGGGGAAGTGGGAACTTGATGGAAGCTTGGATATTCTCCTTATAAAAACAGATCAACGTTTAGTTTTGAAAGTGTGGAAAAACAACTTAAGTTTTCTGAGCGTAAAAGTTTCTAAGTGTTTTGAAACCAGAGTTCCTTCCATCCTTAAGTCTCTTAAGTTCTTTAGGAAATCCTTGTAATTACTGTGTAATTGGGATTGGGGTTTCGAGAGTTGTAAAGTGTGAGGCTTGAGAGAGTACTTCATATTGTACAAGTGATTCGGAGTAGAATCACAAAGAGAGAGGAACTACGATTGAGGGATCGTAGTTTGGGAAACTTGAGTTCCTCACGGAACTTGAGTCTAGGAAGTGTATTAGTGAATGTAAATCATTTTTACATAGTGAATTTATTCATTGCCTATCTTGAGTGTCTAGAAGTTTTAATTCCGCAAAATTTTTACATAGACTACAATTCACCCCCCCTCTTGTAGGATACATTGTTCTATCAGCTAGGATTTATAATTAAATGAAAGCTAAGCGATTCTATTGATAATTTTTGCTGGAAATTATCCGTCGGAAACTACCACCCAAAAAATAAAAATAAAAAACCCCCTCCCCTCCCCGCACCACCACCACCCCCACCACGCACCACCCCACTCTTCCACAACCACCCCACTCTTTAACTGAAACCCTGCCCCTTCTCTTTTCCCAGCCACACCACCCATGCAAACCACCCCTTAGACCTCAACACAACCCACGACCACCATCTACAACCCAAACCAACCACACCTAACCAATTCGGCCGAACACCCACCTACCACGACCGCCGAAAATCACAACCCAAAAATTGACAAAAAAATTCAAAAAAAAAAGAAAATTAAAAACAAGAAAATATACCTTTAAAACCGAAATTGGCTGTGAATTTCACCTCGAATTGTGCTTAATACGACCAAAATCGACCATGAAAGCTGTAGATCTAGAACTTTCATGGTCGAATTTGACCGTAAAAACCATCAATTTGAATGGAATAGACCATAAGAAAAAAAAACCATTAGAAAGAGGGAAAGTAAGGCGTGAGAAAGAGGGACACTACTAGAAAACAGGCGATTTCCGACGGAAAATTTCTGTCGGAAACACCCTATTTTCCGTCGGAAACTGTCATCGTAAAAGTCTTTGTCGGGAAAACGCCCTTTTCCGACAGAATTTCAAATTTTCGACGGAATTCAAGCGTCGGAAGAGTTTTTTCCGGCCTGATAAAGTTCGTCGGAAATTACCGACGGAATTTCCGTCGGAAAATGCTGTGAAAAAAAAAAGCCTACACCACCACCAGCCCCCACCGCCAAACCACCACCTCCATTGCCAAACTACCAGCCCCGATTTAAACCCCAATTAACTAACCCACCTAGAGGTGGGCAGCGTGCCTTGTCGGGCCACCGCGGGTTGTGCCTCGCCGTGCCTGCAAATTAGCGGGTTGTGCCGTGCCAGGCCACCATTTGGCATACCCCAGCCCACGGCACGACCCACGTGCCTAGCGTGCCGCCTTGAATTTTTAATTTTTTTTTTTTAAAGAAAAAATTGATATATATTTTTTTTAAACAATTTTTAAAATGAGTATATTTAAATAATTTTATTAATTTATGTTTATATTTTTATATTATTATATTATTATTGTTCTTTTTACTATTCTTATTTTTATTATTATATATAGTTCTTTTACTCTTTTTTATTATTTATGTTAATTTTATTAATAATTTATTATTATAGCCATTTTATGGTTGTTGGAAGCAGCGAAATATAACCGTTTTGCACGGGTTGGGCCGTGCCTGGCGTGCCACGTGCCGTGATGGAGAGCCATGCCGACGGGCCGTCCTGCAGGCCAAATTATCGTGTCGCCCATCATGCCCATGTCGTACTCGTGCCGATTTTTCAAAACTGTGTTTACCGCCACGGCCCACACCCACTCCTCGGTCAACGTGTCGTGCTTTGCCGCAGGCGTTAAAGATATTATTAATCAAATAATTATATCGGCATACATGTCCTTGAGAAATGGAGCAAGTAATAAAATATGTAGCATATATAATGTATCTCAAACAAAATTATATATTCTCTTTATTGGTGTTGTGCTAACAACACCCATTATTACAGCAATTTATGGTTGAGGAGTATTGCATTTAGCTCAACTCCTTGACCAAATTTTAAAATAAAAAAAAAATTATAAAAAAAATTACGAGTACACAACTCAAATTATTTATTTTGGTGTAAACTTTTATTCAACACACCACAAATTAAAACAATTTAACATTACTAAAACAAATGCATATATATAAATAGTATAACAGCTTAAAATCAATTAATGTTAATTAATTAAGTGGAGCACTTTGAAGCACAATGGTTTCAACAGTAAGACCAGGACCAAAACCAAACAACACACCCCATTCCAAGCCTTCTCCTGTAGTCGATTTGCCCTCCTTGGACGACTTATTCCTCATCTCTTCCAATATGAACAACACACTCGCACCCCACATGTTCCCATACTCGCTTAGGACGTGCCTAGTAGTACTCAGTTTGCCCGCCTCGAGATCGAGTTCAGTTTCAATCTGGTCCAATATAGCTGGACCTCCAGGGTGAGGGATCCAAAATAAGGAGTTCCAATCTTTGACACCAATTCTTTCAAAAGATTCTATCAACAAACTTTCGATGTTTTTGGATATAAGTTTAGGTACGTCAGGAGCAATGTCCCCGACCATACCCTCTTCCCTTAAACGGGCTTGTATGGTCCCGTCTGTACCGGGAATTGTGGTCTGGTCGGCTGACACGAGCCGAAAAATAGGTTTTTCAAGAGGCTCGTCAGGATCAGCACCAACGATCAATGCCGCAGCACCATCCGCGAATAAGGTGTGCGGCAAAAGATTAGTGTCATCGGGAGCATGGTAAAATATAACAGTACTCAACTCCGCGCATACAACCAACACACGTGCTCCGCGTTCGTTTTCAGCCATGGCCTTGGCTATACGAAGGAGCGTGCCGCCAGAGTGGCAGCCACCCTGGCGGAGAACAAAGCGCTTGACGGAAGGCGAAAGGCCGAGAAGCATGGCGAGGTATTGGTCAGCAGCGGGGGTATCGCAGAAAGTGTTGGTGCCAAAGATAAGGTGAGTGATCTTAGACGTGGGTTGGCCCCACTCGGCGATGGCCTTATCGGCGGCTTCTTTGCCGAGTTTTGGGACTTCGGTGGCGAGGATAGCTTGACGGGCTGATAAGGAAGATGCCTTGCGATCGCACATTTGTGGGTGTTCTTTCAGGATCTCTTCGGTTACGTGCAAGTAACGTTTCCTAATCATTGATTTGTCGCCTGCGAATATATAGAAACACGAGATATAATTAGTCATGTACAAATTTTACCAAAATCCAAAAGGTCAAATTTACTATCCAATCATTGTTTTATCATCCGCAATTATTAGTGAACAAAATTCAAGCTAGTCATATCATATTTCAATTCCCAAATGTGACCTAAATTTGTTTCAAGCTAGTCATATCATAGGTCAATGGGGTTCCAAAACTGTGGGAATTGGGTACATGCTCAACAAATCATATACAATGCGTATACCCACTTTTAATCGACAAAATTTATCCTATCTAAATACTTTTTTTTTTTTATTTAAGCATTAAAAAAATACATTATTTTTTATTACTTTTCATGAAAAATAAGATATTCCAACTATTTTATGTAGTACATTTATTTATTTAACTTTAATCAGTAACACACTCATACATTTATTTTTATTATTTCTAAAATAATTTTACTAGAGTCTAGAGATTTTCATAATTTCATTTAGCAAAAAAAAGCCCTGTTCACTTCACCTTAAAATATTCAGTAAAAATAATTACACTTTAGTAAAAAAAAATCTGACTTATTAGTCTATATGTCATATTAAACCTTATCCTTTATGACTTCGAGATCTTAGGATTATATACAACCCAACTACAGAACTAACTTAGAACGAAGTAGTGTTTTCACTATATATCCTTCCCATTCATTGTTTGCTTCCAAAAGACCTGACCTACTTAATTAAGTTCAGTTAGATCATTCACATTATCTATAAATTATTAAATTAAACAAGCAACAATATAGAGTATAAAAGAATAAAAATAAAGCAAAGGGCATACACATGCGCTGGTACTTGCTCTTGAGACGGGTTAAATGTTGGCTATTAGTACTACGAAAGTAGTACTCAGGATAGTCAGCCTGAATAAATTCATTTGGTGGATTAGCAGTGCCCATTGCCAAGATTGTGGCTGGACCAACTGCTTTTGGAGCCATAGGAATTTCATACATAGAACCCATTCTCTTAGGTTATATTGAATTAAAGCTAGGATTTATAATTAAATGAAAGCTAAGCGATTCTATTGATGCTAGGATTTATGAATTTATGGCAAGGCAATCAAGCCTTTATATAGTAGTAATTTATTGAATGATAACTATATATAAATTAATTTAATGGTCATAAATTGTCACTTGCATGAATGAATACAAGTCACCTCAATTTATTTTATGTACGTAGTTTTGGGTTGGTAGCTATTTGACTGAATTAAAAATTACTTCGTTGATTCATTCAACCAATCCCTATATTTATCTACTATAATTTTTGGTTTTACTAGACTTTTTACACTAAAGTTAGGCATTTGGATTTTTCTTTGTATGATTTCTTATCTTAATTTCTTAATCTCAAGTCTAATGTTGAAGGTGATTTGTAAGACTTGTCAATTTCATGTTTATTATTGTAAGCTTACAAGTTGTTGGGTTTTTTTAAAAAGAAAAATTTAATGTGATTTTGACTTGGTAGCCTTTGACTCAATTTTAACAATAAGATTTTAGATTTTGAGAAGCAACGTATTATTAAAACATTTGGCAAATTAATTTCTTGATAGCATAAGCTAAGAGATACAAAATTTCATCAATAATTACACAAAATGTTTTGGAAATTTTTATTTTTTTAAGTGATTTTGACTTGGTTTCTTTTGGCTATTAAGATTTAAGATTTTGCAAAGCAAGGTGTTAAACATTTTGTATACTAATCTATCTCTTGAAAAAAATTAATACTTACAAATGGATACTGGATGTGAAACATAAAATATTTTTGTGTTGCAAACAGTAAGAAATAGACGTACGAAGTGTACAACTTTTGTTTTTTTCACGGGACGTAGTATATAACAAAGTTTTACCCAAAATATTTTGTAGCAAGGTTTACATTTTGTATGCTTATAATCTCTTGAGAACATAACTTATTTCGCAAATTAAACTTGTACAACATACGAAAATACATTTACATTTTCATCAGAAATAAAGTTTATATTAATTGTCTTTGTTGCCAAAAGAATTAAAGCTCCATAATCCTCCCCAAGATGTATTGAGGCAATAATGGCTGCTAGCTACGCTTTGCAATTGGCTCGAAAGATGGGATATAGAAAGTGATTTGATGTTGTTTGATGTTTGCTTATTTTCTTATGGTAAAAGAGCACGTAATACCGTTGTCCATCTTGTGGCGAGGTGGGATACGGGTGTGAACTCGAAGTATGAACGTTTAAACTCCTTTCCCCAAAGTATTATGGCTTTGACGGAAGTGGATATTCTTAACTAATTAATATATGCTCTGCTTTCCTTTAAAAAAAATTTGTTGCCAAATTTAACATTATAACATTTTATTGTATTAGTTAATATTATCATAATAAAATACACCAATTTTATTAAATACTTCCAATAATGTGATCTTATACAAAGAACATATATATATATATATATATATATATATATATATATATATAGGATTAATACTGTTTTTTAATCCTAACTTTCACCAATTTTTTTCATTAATCCCAACTTTGAATTATTCCTTTATAATCCCAACTTTAAGGTGGTATATCATTCTTCAATCTCAAAAAACGATGACCGGTTGAATGGGTTATTATTTTATTTTTTTAAAAGTGACACGTGTCACAAGTTAATTGGTTAATGAAAATTTAATAAAAAAACAAAAAAAAAAATCAGAAATTCAAATCAGCTCCAACCCACCACCACCCACGGCCATGTCTTCATCCCGCCACCCCTGCCGCACCCTAATCCCCCTCCCCACGCCGGCGACTCCCTTCCCCCTAAACCATCAAACCACCATCGCTAGACACCCTGAAATCTAAAAATAAACCGCTTCCCCCACCGTATAAACCCAACCGAAAACCACCACCTTCACCTCAAACTAGCCTGACCTGTGAACCCGCCCCCACCCTCACACCGGAATTCCTACCCCCACCCTAAAACCCCACTGAGCCACCTCTATAACCATACCCCACCCAGCCACCTCTAAAACCACACCCCCACCATGAAATCTCACTTAGCCACCCCTAAAACACCACCCTTACACCGAAAACCCCACTACCACTTCGAAATACAAACGTTGCCATAAAACCACACCCAACCACACTAAAGCTCGCGTTGGATCGGAACCATACCCCCTAAAAGCAGACTAGTCACATCGAAACTCGTGCTAGATCGAAACCCCATTCAACCCCTAAACCCATTGAAACCCACGCTAACTGAAAAGGAAAGAGGTGGGGGTGTTGTTCGGCGAAGAAAGGGTGGGGGGTAGCTTTGGTCCACTGGGGTGGGGCTACTCCGGTATGAAAAGGGGTAAGCTGGAGAAGGGGGTTAATTTGGGGGTCGGGAAAGGGAGAAGGGGAATGTGGATTGGAGGTGGCCGTTTAGGGGTGGTTTGTGGGGCGCCATTTAGGGAATGGTGGCGCAAGGGCAGGGAATGGGTGGTCGTTCAGGAGGAGGGGACCGAGCTGGGGTTTGGAGATTTTTTAACTTTTTTTTTGGCTTTTTTTTTTAATTTATTTTTGAACCACTCACATATCGACACGTGTCTAGAAACCTACTATAATAGGTTGTTGACTTTTGTTGACCTGTTTGGGTATGAAGAATGATATGACACCTTAAAGTTGGGATTATTGAGGAACAATCTAAAGTTGGGATTAATGAAAATAAATTGGTGAAAGTTAGGATTAAAAAACGGTATTAATATATATATATATATATATATATATATATATATATATATATATATATAAGTCATTACTATATTGTACTCCCTCTATTTTCTTTTGTTCTTCCTGTATTTCCATTGGAGAATTTCAAAAATTCTTTCTTCCTCTTTTGGGGGGTGTAACAAAAATCCCTATTTTATTTTAAATTCCAATTATTTGTGTAATAAATGCCCAATTATTTATGTTTCTACTATTTCAAAGTGTATAAAATATACAATGATTTATTTTTTCAGTTGCCCTAAAATGTTTTATATGAACAATTATTTATGTTTCATTGCAGTAAATATCTTCTGAATATTTTAAGTCGAATCTTTATTTCTAATTATTTTTAATAATGATCGAAATGGGGAATCTTTCCCTTCTTTAATATTTTCATGGTTTATCCCCGATTCTTAATCATAAAAATAAAAGAAAATGGAGTAACATGTTACTTAAATCATAATATGCCCTTCGTTCCTAATGATTCATAATGTATTGAGTTTGACACTATCTATAAAAGTGAGGCTTATATGATGTATCACTTAAAATGGAGGGTAAGAAATTGTTAGGAGTGTAATTCAGTGGGTCATAGCTTTAAAAAAGAGTACTAGTACAACTTTCAACAAAAAAAACTTTCCGATTATAGTGTGTTGTAAATATTGTGACAATTCTATTTTACAAAAGTGTCGCAAGTATTAAAAAAACAGAGGAAGTATTAACATTTTTTTTTTTTTGAAACAGAAGAGGAAGTATTAAATTTTGCTACTATTTTCCGCCTCTCCTCTTTTTCTCTTCCTCCTCAAAAACCCTAAAAAAATTCTTGTTTCTAGGGGCTACCACCAACCTTTTGGTTGATGGTAAGCCCCTAATATCTTAGTTTCTTACTAGTTTTTACTTTATGCTCACAATAATTATAGTCTCTCTATTTGAGAGTTTTTCTACTCGTATATCGAGTTATTTCTACTCGTATATCGGGTTAATTTCTCTCTTTTTGAGAGTTTTAGGGCTATGCATGTTCTTTAATTTCGTAAGAAAAATTGATTTGTTGATGAAGAGTTGTGCTATGTCGCCATGGAGATTAATTCTACCTCTACAATCAATTGTATCGAATGGTGTTCGATTCCAAAACTACAATAGATCGAAAGACCCCCTCGTGAAAAGCTGTATCAAACAGCGGTGTGAAAGAGGGCATTTAGAAATGTATTTTTTTTTTCTTTTTTTTGCAAATGAACCATGAGAGTAATTAAATTACAATTGGGCGGAGGGAATTAATAATCATATGACCCAACGTACACGTGTTTTGGTCATTCTTAACCACTACGCTAAGACCTAATTTGTGGGGAGAGATGGAGCGTATGATTTGCCTTCTAATGCTTGCATCATATCTTCAAAGTCGATGACCCAAATTTCATATCTTCGTAGTGTACAAAGGCTTCCAAGAATTTTCCCTTTTCCGTATTCAAATTTGATCATATTATCGATCTTAATTAATTACATATTAGATCATTTCAAATATAATTGAGTTTAATAATCGTATATTATATGATAATGCATGTATTCATCAGCTGATTGCATGCCGTGCTGTATTAAAAATGGAACAGTAAGATAAATTCGTAGAATCTCAGCAACCAAATAATATTATTTGGTGCAATTTTCTAGGAATATAAAAATAGTCCAACTTAGTTAAATGTGATTAATTAAATTATTCTGTCTTTTTCATTTTTCTGTTTGAAAATTATGAACATTGGTTTTCATTTTCTGTTTGAAAATTATGAACATTGGTCTTCAATTTTTAAACCACTTTAAATTGATCAGTTGGTAAATAAAACTGAATTACATTGAGGCGAAAGTTTGTCGAAGGTGAGGAGCCATATGTTGATTAGTAGTGATGATAACGACACACATAGTAAATAGTGTACTACAAGTAATATATACTAGTAGTAACAATAATAGTAACAATAGTACTCCATAATACTTGTGAAAATATATAATACGAGTACGAAGCATAAGTCAAAAATTTCCTTTTTTTTAAATTTGAATTTTCACCAAGTAAAATATGTTAAACTTCTTTCTGTTTTTTTTTCTTTATTTTTTATTTTTTAATTTTTTTTTGGAGGGGGGGGGGGGGGGGGAGGGAGGAATTGAACTTGTTTTTATTTGATATGCTTATTGAAAATTCTACGCTAGTCATTCTTAAAATGACCATCATATAATAAAATAGATGGCACATAGTGATTGGCTCAAATATCCACGTAAGTATTTCTTTTGATTTTTTTAAGTGTCAAAATAATTAAAAATCAATTTTCTTATTTTTAAATTCATTTTATAATTTCCAGAATTATTTATTGTAATTTCAA